GGGGGGGGGGCGGCAAATGGGAAGAGGGGCTGTGAGGGATTATATAGAGCTGGACTTCTGCAGACAGAAGAGGCAGCTGTGAAAGACACTGCTCTGCTCCTAATACCCGCAGCCTGTGATGAATGCAGACTCATAAAAACTTTCACACTTCAGCGTTCCTCTCAGCAGGGTCTCTGCAGCACAGGGACAGGCATCTGGTCCCACAGCCAGTCTGGAGCCACAGACCTCTCGTGATTACAAACACAAAGCCCCATAAACTGGACCACTAACCCCTAGAAAAGCCCCCCCCCCCCCCTAAACAGAGAGAGAGCGAGAGAGAGAGAGAGCTACTGGCCAATGGCAATGACGGTCTAGCCTTGACAGAGGCAAAACTCTAAATGACAATGGCACAGTTGTTCATGAGCAGTGGAGGATGGAAGGTAATTGGGGGGGGTGGGGGGGTTGCACCTGGAAAATGGGACGATGGGAAGGAATCGAGGGAGGAGATCTACCTGTCAGTCTTGAGGAAGAGGCTGGCAGGCAGCTCGGACAGCTGATTATGCTGGACATCCAACACCTCCATGTGACTGCCCTCCAGGTCCTCAGGCAGCCGCTGCAGCTGGTTATGTCCTACCAGCAGCTTCCGCAGACTGCTGCTGCAAAGGAGCCTGGGAAACCGGGGGGTGGGGGGAAGGGGTCCAATCATGAGGCCGGGTTTACCTCTGTGCACAACTGATAAAACGCCTTAGATGTGCTATAAATATATACCAATGTATTCACTGCATATATAAACCTCATTTAATTACAGGTAAATCTCTCCATTCAGTCACGGCTGCAAAGACACAGGTCATGATGGGGTTAATCAGGCAACTGACCAATAGGAAGGTAGGCTGGTGTGTCCCCGCCCCCTCCTGGGTATCAAGCTAATAATGCGGCCAGGCCACCCGGGGGGGGGGGGGTTTGCTAACAGACGCCACTGACCTTTCCCGCGAGAAAACAGCGGACGGAGCGGGAGCGAGGTCACGGGAGACGGGAGAGCAGCTTAATCAGCCGGTCCTTTAATTACAAAGTAGACCTCAGAGTCAGCAGCTGGGCTCAGGTGCAGGGTGGGGGGAGGGGGGGCAGGGTAGGGTTTCCTTCCCGAAGGCGGCTCGATGTCACCGAGCAGACATGGCGTCAGCTCGCCCGCACCCATCATCTCGCCAATGTCCTTCCCCAACCTTGGGTCCAGCTCTCTTGAGGGCATGACCTGGCCAAATGCTGTGCCAATTTGGGGGGGGGGGTGTCCAACCAAAATGGCTGCTGTTGTTTTCATTGACGGATGCATTGCTGACTCCCTGCACTTGTCCTTCGCTGATTTATCATCTGGCGTCTTTCCTGTCTTTCGTACAGCACCGATGCACCCTGCCAGCGGCCACAAGGGGGCGCCCAGTCTCTAATCTAAACTGAGGCAGACTGCCTGTCCCCAAATCCCAAACGCAGACCCACCCCTCCCGCCCACACTCACCGCTCGGGGAGCAGGTGAAGCTGGTTGTGACTCACGTCCAGCACCTCCAACTTCTTGCTCTCACATAGCCAGTCCGGGAGGCTCTCTAACTGGTTCCTGGAAGTGGTTAAGGGGTTAAACAATGCCGTAAGGTCTCTGTATAGATTACAGCGAGACAGGGTAGTATTGATGATGCGGAATCAGGATCGATTATTCAGGCCTGGCCCGAAAAGCAGTGCTACTTATTATGTAGGGTAAGGCAGAGCCGGGGCCGGGTCAAGAGCGAGACAAGAGGAGAGGAGAGGAAATAGGCCAGAGCTAATGGCAGGACAAAGATGTCAGACCTACCTGGAGACGTCCATGTAGGTCAGGTTACGGGGCACCGGAGAGACCTCCAACTGACGGAGCTCTGTGGGAGAACCAGGCGTCAGAGACACAGTGGTACCAAAAAAAAAAAAAAAAACCGCACCAATCGCAGCACAATGATTTACAGCTCCACGAATCGTGACGTGGCCACAAGGTATAGCCCAACCAATCAGAGGTCAGAGAACAGGCAAACTTAAAGCTCCGCCAATCACAGCACGGCCAAAATGTTTAGCGCCTGAAATGTTTCATAACGACATTGAAAGTTGTTCTGAAGTTATTCAGGTGCCAGATTGTAGTTTTGTGCCTCTAAGAACGCCAGTTGGTCTGACCCGCGGATGCCCCGTGTGAATGACCCACGCCAGTTGGTCTGACCCGCGGATGCCCCGTGTGAATGACCCACCATTGGAGGAGACGTGCAAGGCCTTGAGCGGGCCCCCCCGCGCCCGCAGCAAGCCCAAGCGATTCCTCTCGCAGTGCAGCACCTCCAGCCTGGGGAAGAGCGAGGCATCCAGCTCCGTCAGGCCGTTGTCCCGCACGTCCAGGTGGGTCACGTGACGCAGGAAGTCCGGCTCCTCAGGCACCACCTTGCAGATCCTGTTGAGCCTGGAGCAGTGGGTGCGGTCAAGAGGGTCAAAGGTCAGCTTCTACAAGCCAGCCTGTAGATCAGACCCAGGGCTACCAAGCGGACCAGGAGAACACCTGCTTTCATCCGCCTACTCACCCATGAGCCACTTCACGAAAAATGTACTGAAATGACAGTACTCACGGTACTCACAGTGATATCAAGTACTTCCTGAACGTGGCTATGGGAAATACAGGCCCATTTTATTTTTATCCTGACTGGCTTTAAGTGGAAGAGAAGGACCATCTACGGCGGCGGGCGCTAAAAGCGCGCTGACGTGTCGATACATTAGTGATGTACCTGTGAAAGGGGTTTTGGGGCGAACGAGTAGAGCAGGGATGGCTAACGAGACACTACTCACAGACCATGAACTCCCTTCGGCGTCTGTGTGTCACCAGCATAGTCTTTGGGAATCTGTCACTCACTGCTCCGAGGGGGGGGGGGTGTGTTTAATACCCTCTGAGCCAGTCACTGTGCCAAGCGTGACATAATGTGTCAAGCGAGGTAAATTATATTAAACAAACGTCGACGCCTCATCAGGCTGAGCCACAACGGAGCGCCTCCTGCCTTCCTGCCCTAACAGCCACGCTTGCTTTACGATAATTATTCACGGAGGTTTGGTTTTAAAAAGTCCGGCCTCCTCTCCCCCCCCTGGCAGCCACAGCGCCCCCTACCTCAGGTCCACGTGCTTGACGCGCAGCAGCCGGAAGGCCTGCAGCAGCAGGGCGTCCAGGCCGTTCCCCGCCAGGCAGAGCCGCTCCACGCCCTCCATGCGCTCCAGCACTTCTGGTACTTCGCTGAACTCGTTGAAGGACAATCCCAGGTAGCCCAGGCGGGGCAGGTCACCCAGCTCGGCCGGCAGCGCCGACAGGCAATTCCCATCCAGGAGGAAGGTCTGCAGGCTGGGGGGGGGGTGGCAAGGTGAGGGGTTACATCAAAGCAAACAAGCGTCACCTTCCTGTATTGACCTCCACATTATTTTTTATATCCATTTCCCAACCAAGGCATTAAATAATTAACTTTTCCAAACCATTCATCAACGGAGCACTTATTTATACACACAGTGATTTCCTGACACCTGTGTTGCAGAATCTAGGGAGATTTATGGAAGAATACACTCATCCTGTTTTTCTACTATTAACTGGAATTAAACGGAATAAATTCCAATGTAGGCCAGCAGAGGGCAGCAAAGTCAGCACTGTCCCACACTTCCGCATTACTGGAGATTCCAGACAGTTCCTTCATAGCCCCTAGCTGAACAATGCACACTACCTTCAAATAATAAAAATCTGAATTCCAAGGACTTTTTCAAACATGAATCACATCAGAACATCAGAAATTAGTATTATAAAAGCTCATCGAGTTCCAATTATGTCCAATTAGGTCGTCTGACCCAAAAAAACTACAGCGACATCACGCCTGGATCCTTCACAGGCCTTTGGCTGTGTTACCCCCCCCCCCCCTTACTCACTTGTGCATGGCCCCCACAGCACTAGGCACGGAGGTCAGGCAGTTGCAGGACAGGTTGAGCTCAGTCAAGGTGGAGATGCTGCAGATGGCTATGGGGAACTGGCCAAGGTGGTTGTTGGACAGGTTGAGGCTGCGCAGCTTGGAGAACCTGAGAGCAGGAGGTACGGTGGCACGTCAGCTCAGCGGAAGATCATCGCTTACTGAACAAAGTAAAAAAAATAAATAAAACACACACACACACACACACACATCCTACCATATCATTCAAATCCTCATTAAGAAACAGATAGGAGAACTGGATTTTTCTGATTAGAGGCTTAGCACTAATACCCAGAGTAAAACCGTGAAATCTGCTAGGACGGAGACCAGAGCACCACCACTGTGCGCATGGCATTATGGGAAATGGAGCCAAAGGCGGCGCTAACGCTAATCCCCAACCCCAGATGAGAATCTACGCTGAGCTGAAACAAAAACTGTGTAATCATGTTAGGTTACAATGCAATACGGAGGCCCTTAAATTGGTTGTGTAAGGAGATGCACGGCGGGGTTTGCTATTTCAGCTCTGGTGGGGGTCAGAGGTCAGACGACAAGCAGTACATGTGAAATGAGCAACTAAAACGCAACCTCGGCAGGGTGGGAAGACCAGCTAGCATGGGGGTTCACCTACCATTGGGTCAACATACTCGACTACACACAACAGATATCCTAAGCTAGTTTTGTTGACGACTTTGAAACCCATTTGCCACGCCTATGGGTAGAATGCCCCTTAAATAGGTCAGTTTTAAAAGCATGACTTTTTTTTTTTTTTTGTTCTGGCTATAATAGCCATCTTCTCCCTTGTGTTTTCAAAAGAAACCCATCCAAGATGGCTCCTGTTCTTCCATACATGTGAAACACTGCAACTAAATGAAGATAAGGGCGAGAGCATCCGGTTTAGTAGCCAAGCCTCAGATTTTCCTGGAGAGAACCTTGAGGCACCACAGTTAAAGATCAATCGATTGGCACATTGATTCTGGGAGTCAGGCTGCCAACCGCCAAGCCGTGAACAGAGGGTATGGCAGCTCTGCGCTCTCCATCTGGGTGCTTTGCGAAGTACGCATACATGAACCAAGCTCATCCAGAAGTCGGGATACTGGCTGCTCCCACACCAGTCTATGAAATAAGCCTTTCTGGTTGCGGCCCCCACTAGCATGCTGGTATTTGTATTCATGCGCCATTAAAACAGCTCGCCAAAGTACAAACGTGACGGAGACCGCAGACTCCCCTGAAAGCCCAACTATCCTTTCAGGCACCAAGCCCGATGAAGGAGGGAGAAGGGAACCCGGCGTGGCTCACAATACGGGAATTCGCCTCAATGAATGACGAGGGCATAAGCTTCCCCCCAATGTCATCTATCCATCCAGCGATGGCGTGTGGATATTTATTGTCGTGTGGCGTTTCGTCATGGCTTGTGGGCCGCATCCATTCATCACGGGAGCGTCGAAAAAGAAAACGGAAAAAAAAAAAAAAAAACCTCAGACTGAAGTATTGATCCAGGCAGCCATTTAATTAAGCGGAAGGCTACCTCCTCTAGGGTCCGGGTGGCGTTCGGTCCATCGCAGCTGTGATCCTCTGCGCCAGAGGGGCAGCTTTTTGTTCTCGTATTGGAGGCAGGGCGGTGGTATCTAGAGGGTTCCGGGAGCGGGAGCCATGGCTCTGAAAGCTGGGGGGGGGGGGGGGAATCGGCACATTCCATCCCACCGTTCGCCATTCCGCCGGTGCCGTCAACCGCCAGACGGAGTCCGATATCCCGGCGCTCCGCTTCCACGGCAGCCTTGACTCTGGCTTTCAGATTTATGGGGGTATAATTGCACAATAATAGACCTTTAAGTGTCATAGGGGCCAGTGTGAAGCCGAGTGGAAAATCACGACGACGATGGACAGACAATCCCAGGAGAATTCGAAATGTGCCAAGGGACTGGGGGGGAGCAGTCGGGTGGGGGGGGGGGGGGGTAATAGCAAAACAAATCAACAGCTGAAGCATTCCTCCAACAGTGTGCGCGTGAACACAATGTTTCTGGATGAACAATGGATAGAAGGGTCCTCTTCTGACAGAGAGGAGACACAGATGTGCACTTTGTGTGCCGATGTGGGCCATAAATGCTCACGGTGAAGATCTTCATCTCTAGCTGATGGCGTGTAGCCTCTATGTCACGGTAATCCAAACAACGTTGAGTAGTCCGGCCCTCAAATGTCTGATCTGCGTTTATCTTCATGCAAAGACCAAAGCGATCCCACTGTGGATTTAGAGAAGTTCTCTGCAGGTTCCTGACTGTCAAAATTCGGTATGGCTCTGAAGATACATTTGCCACATGAATGTCAAATTTAATCACAGAATACCATTAAGTGATTCCGTGAAACCTAGTCAACGTTCCTCGTGCGAATCTTCCCATCTGGTGACTTGACAGCATCCTGCCGAATGATGTCACTAAATCGTGAAAAAAACAGCCCGCGCATCACAGAAGGTGAGAAACCCCGACCAGAGGAGCCGGTTTCTGTCTTCTCCTGCTAGGTCTGTGGTGGCCCAGCACTAGATGGTGGAAATCAAGGCCATACCACGAGGGGGAAGCGAAAGAGAAACAGGCATGGGAAAAAAAAAAAAGAGGAAGGACACGGGGAAGAGGCAGCCGACAATGGATGTGAAAGTGTTATTTTTAAAATGTGAGGCGGCCTCACCCCCGGCCCGAACCTCCGGGGGGGCTGTGCCACTTATGCTGCATTTGCTCAGCTCAAAGATGAGCAAAGATGGGAACTTGCAGCTGGTTTCTGCCTGCTTGCCGTCCCCCATCCCCCCCCCCCAGTAGGAATGGCCCACCTCAATTTAGCAACACCCTGGGCCAGGAGAAGATCGCCGCAGATCCTTTCACGAGCGGAATAGCCGTCAAAAGCCCGGCTTGTCATTTACATCCCCGTTAATCTTCCACACTGCGACATTTGCCCCCCCATCTTTCCAGAAAGGAGCCTCCATTCTCAAATCCTGCCTAGTTGCTCATAGTGTCGGGACCCGGCTTTGAGGAATGTCTTTAAAGTCTCTTCAGACCTTGCTGAACACGTTTTCTCCTCAGCTGAACCAAGGAGCCGAATAAATCCAATTGTAGCTGCTAGCAGTCATGGTCCAAAAGGGTTACCGCCGCTTTAAGAATTAGCTTGATCACTGGCAAACCCGACACAAACATTCCCCAGCTCTAACCCAGTCCGAAGCTGCCTTAGAAGTCATCAACTGGGATGTGACTGGAAGGCGGTAATGCAATTTCAAATTCCAAAAGAGAAAGCCCCACCTCACCCGTGTCACAGAACCCCTGCCGTCTGAATCTCGCTTATTAGTCAGTGTGCAAACAGGTCTGTGCCTCATCTGCATTTTCCTGCCTTCCCATTGGCTGTCTGCTGCAGCATCAAAGCATGGTCACATGACTGAGCGGGAAGCCTTAAAATACAGATTGTATATGGGGCGGCTGTCCTTCAGTGGAGGTGGTGGTGAAGGTGGGGGGGGGGGCATCTATTCCTAATCGATACTGGATAAAAGCTGTTGGGACACCCACAAGACCCCTGAAGTCCACGGTTCCTGCGTCACCCCACCACCCCCCGCCCCAGGTGCCAGAACTCGAATTTACGATCCTCTCGGCTATTCCTGGAATCGACCCGTCAGTAAGGCTGACCTCTGCAGACTGCAGCTGAGTCATTCTCACACCTACAGAAAAACACGGCCCCCCTCCCTCCGTGTGAAACGGGAATGGACTTCGCCCTGCTGGGATTCGCAGGGGCGAGTCCCGGCCCTTGGACCAACTTCTTGAGCATTCTGCCCGACCTCTCTGGAGCCCAAATACAAGTTTGCTGCGAGCTATGGACAAAATTCCCACATGGTTCCTTCGCTCACGGAGACTGGCATGAGGTTAAATGGCCCAGCAGATAAGACCGACAGGGACAGACGGAGACCCACACAGATACAGGGAGGATGGTGCCCAGATCCACCAACTCAAATGTAGACATGCTTCTTCACTTCCATTACTAAATCACAGTCAGTAGATGGTGCTCGCTTCAAAGGAGAACACATCTTTCCATACTCATCTTTCCATCTGTCCACCACATTTCATTCAGGCAATTTTGAGGATGGAATGGAGGCTGGGTTTCAGTGGGTGGAGCCTATGTGGGGCAGGGACTGTGTGGGTGTGGCCAGTGTGGGCGGGGCCTCACCTCTGCAGATCTGTCAGGCAGCGGCTGGCTGACAGGAAGTTGCGTTTCAGGTTGAGGTGTGTCAGGTCCTGGCTGTAGAAGAGATTGGGTGGAAGGCGCTCCAGGCTGCAGCAGGACAGGTCCACCGAGCTGATGCGCTGAGACACCATCTAAGCATTGGGGGGGGCGGGGCTTACATGCTGGAGGCCACACAGCTGCTTTTAAATACTAAATTGGGCATCCCCTTAGTGGCTGATTGCTGATGTGACCGACACAGAGAAGTAAATCAACGATTCCGGCAGATGCAGAGGTATAACCAGAGCTGCAGCCTTAACTGGGCGCCATTCCGCTGGGCGGAGGCGATGCACAGGCCGCCATCTTGGCGCAGGGTCCCGGACCCTCGGAAACCCGGGCGGCCCCCGGGGCCACAGCACCTGCCCACCCCGGAGACGCTATTCTGGGACTTCCTTGGGGCCATTATGTGACAAGGTTGTCGTCGGAAAAATTTAGAAAATAGGTTCCCTGGGCTGCCCTAATTCGGCTGCGGAGAGAAGCGCGGCAGAAAGTGGGGCTCCATTTGCGGGATGTGGAACGGGCCTCTCTGCTGGGATCCGGTCTCCCTCCCTCTGTTTTCCACGCTACCCCAGCTACAGGCAGGGGGGGGCCTGGCCAGCCCAGCTGGTACATTCCACTTCAGGTAGATGCATCTATTTGCGGGGTTCGTTTACATTACATTTTATTCATTCACCAGATGCTTTCATCCAGAGAGCTATACGTCGCTGAAAGACAGCAAGGTCAGAAGATCCCTGGTGGTTAAGGGCCTTGCTCGAGGACTCGACGGTGACATCAATATGCTGACACTGGGATTTGAACCAGCGACCTTCCGATCATGGCGTCCTTACGCACTGAGCCACACACTTCCACCTCGGGCAGACAGACCCTCCCGGGGGTCACTCATCACCGCAGGTTACCTTGGAGACCACATGCCACCTCGGAGACGCGGCTGTCTCACCTTGGCAGCCTGCCTTTGCCAGCGAAGGTGCTCGGTGAAGCTGTCGAAGCTGACGTAGTAGCTCTGGCTCTGCGGCCCCGAGGAGCTGAAGGCCAGGCAGTGGGTCTGCTTCCTCACCTCCTCCACCTGTGGGTCAAACAAGAGGCACGAGAGTGAGACCTACACCTCCGCCCGGCTCGCCCCTCCTTCACCTCATCTCCCCTGATACGCATCGCACGTTCATGTGCCTTCTCCTATGTTACATGACGCCTGCACATCAATAAACACGCATTTCTGTTGCCGTTCTCCATTTTGTGATCTTTAATCTCCTCTAAGTACTCCGTGCCCCAGAACCATCCGATGCAGATAAGACACGTGATCCCTGCTGCTGTGCTTGTGGTGCATCTCAGGTGCTTCTAAGGATGCTTGCGTTCAAAGGGTCGTTTTTGCCCGTCGTCAAAGGGACCCCCCTTCTGGAGCCAGTCAGCTGCGTGCCACACTTAAAACACCTGGGTATCTCTGAAAGGAAGACCTTATCTGCACCCCCCCCCCCAATCCCCTGCCAGGGGGCTCAAGGATTAAACAGAGTGGAAGCTTCTGCTTCAGATCCACGTTCGAAAGTGCAGATACCAAGATTTAAAAAACAAACACCAAAAGAAATAAAGGAAAAGAAACAATCATTCATTCACAGGAAATATTTTCCACAGAAGTGAGAATTTGGTAATAAGGAAGGCTGTTCAGGAATGATCAATAAAAGGCTTTGCTTTCGCTGTTTACTGCGAGCGATTCTGTCTACGTGACACATCCAAGGCTTTTTATTACTCCAGCTAACGACTGACTCAAATCAGATGATGGCTCTTTAAGATAAAGAGGCAGATGGATGGCCTGTTGTCACTCTTGGCCGCGCTGCACAAACGTGAAGCGAGAACATTTGTTTTAGCATTTGCGACAAACTGAACTGGCCACAGTGACCATTTACAGCTTGCGGGAAGAGCAGAAAAGGAGTATTTTTACGGCAGATCGCTGCACTGCGGTTTGGAGTCGTCTGACGCGGGACGTACCAGTCGCGGCCATTATTAATCGACAGCGGCTGCTGCGTTATGAAATCGTAAAATCCAGCAGCATAGAGAAAAGGTATCTGGCCAGGAGGAGAGGAGAATGGCCTCAGTGGCCGGGGAACAGGAGCGGCTGGGTATCAAACAGCCGACTCGGACGCTCCTCGTGTTCCTGCACAACGAAGTCTGTTAATCTTTTCAGCTTGTCCATAATAAAGACCTTTTCCCCGCATCTGCCCCCCCCCTCCCCCCTTCCAGAGTGCGCTCCACCAGCAGTGTTCTCATCCCGAATATTTTTTTTAAAAGCCCTGAGCTCAGCTGGCACCAAGAAGGGGGGGGGGGGGAGATCCAAACAGAAAACGTGCAGGATGAATAAAGAAGCGAGCAAGCCAGAGTGACAGGCATTACTGCAGGACGACGCGAGGGGGCCAGACCAGTGTCTGCTGGGACGCCACTGGGGCTCGTTAGCTGACGTGGTGGTGATTAGCGGTTAGCCTCGCTCGCTACCATTATTCAGTGGAGACGAGTTTTTTTTTTTGAGCCAAACAGCCAGGGCATACATCTTTTTATCTATACATCACTTTGTCTGTTTTGACTGGGAGGGGGGCGAGGGCGGATGGGACGTACCTTGCCCCCAATGAGAGGCAGCACATGCATCTTTCCGGCCTGGCTGTCCTTGACGGAGGAGACGATGAGGCAGGTGCCGCACAGGATCACCTGCCGCCGCGTCCACCGGTTCACCGGCAGCTGCATCTTCCCCTTTCGCACGTTGTAGCTCCCCGACAGCTGGATGCGCTCCGAACTCTCAATGCTGTGCGGCTTCCCTGCAACCAGGAGGGGGCAGCGTTAGCAAGCGGCGCGCCGCGCCTGCCGTGTGGCCGCGGGAGCGAGCTCGGGCCGCCAGCACGCCTTGAAAGAACACTAGTGTAAACATGCGGCGCTAGCTTACGGCGCTAACCTGACGGGGCTAATCTGACGGCGCTAATCTGACGGCGTGAGAGGCCTAGGAACTGTGTGAGCATCACCTGTCAGTATAAACCCTTTGCGCTACAAATCGGCCACATGACCAGTTCATAAAGCACCCAGAGCGTACAGGAGAAGCCATAGCACAGAATGCTAAAAAGGCACTTATAGCAAAGAGACAGCAAAAGGGAGCTAGGATCGGCAAAAACATGAACGATCAGTATTTCAACCACTTACCCTGTACAGGGTCACGAGGTAGGTGGCATAGAGCCCCTCCCAGGTGGCACAGGGCACAAAGCAGGGGGATACCGCCAATGTGATGCCAGTCCATCACCGGGCACGCACACATACTGCAAGACCGAACGAGCCCCCAGAAGACGTATTTGACAAGACGACCATACAGACTCTACACAGAGCAGAGGCCGGATTCGGAACCTTAACCCTGGAGATGTGATGCGACTATGCAGAGGTAGCTGGCAGATAATGAGTGTGATTCAGAAACATCCCCCCCCCCCAATCCCATCCCATCCCCACGAGTCTTTAACACCTGACGGCGAACACCCAGGAGTGCGATCGATGCCGTTCTCGGCGATCACAGCGGCCGCACACGCTGTAATCGGCGATGTGCCCCCCGGGGGGGGGGGGGAATAGCTCGTAAGACAATACACTGCCGATCGCTCCTCACGGATGGCATGTAACTGCACGAGGAAATTGGTAACGTGACACCGAATAAAACCGAGTTCACGAGGCGCTGCTGGGAAACGGCTGGCGCAGGAAGACGCTGGAAGCACATGTGCGATACACAGGCATGAAGAGTCATGCTTCGGTAGCCAGCAAACCAATATGCACGCATGCCTGTGCCCCCTCCTCTCGAGTGGGTCTCGCCCGGCCCCCTCGTCATCGCCTCCCCGCTGTCCCCAGCCTCTCCTAACCCCACTGTGTCTCTCTCCCAGCATACAGCAGCTGGGAGGCCACGACGCTCCCGTCGCATCACCATCGCTTCTCATTCGTCCCGGGAGACTCGCTGATGCCGGAATCGAGGCAGGCCACCCCCGGCGGGGCCGGGCTGGGCTGCCGGTCTGCCTGGCTGTGTTCACTTCACCTTTTGGGGGGGGTCAGAACGGCTCTGGTTTTTCCTCACGGGCACAGAGCCATCAAAACGACCTCTTTTAACTGCAACTTCTGCGTGGGCGGATCAAGTCAGAGAAAGAGACAAAATGCTAAATCCACTCTCATGTTGCATTTCATTGGCCATTAAAATGTCGAAATTTGCCTATAATGTTTACATTTGCCCAGACTAGCAAATTATTCAAAACCCTTTAGCCTGAAAGTGTCAGACGGGATTCTGTGCTATTTTTACAGCCAAACGGGGACGGAACACAGCCGTGCCACGGCGGCAACGCCCTCGCCCTTCCCTCCCGTGTCTCTGACAGTGATTAAACACCATCTTCAGGCGCCCATTTCATTCCTCCTTCGGTACAAACAGCAGAAAAAGGAGGCGGGTTTTGAATAGACAACAAACCCGGAGACAATTGTTTTGCGCGTGCCCCCCCGGCTATTGGGCGGGTGGGGCAGCGGGAGTTCAGGGGACGCTTCTGGAGGTCACGTGTACGTCCTGTTTACACACAAGCACGGGCAGGGAGGTGTGCAGCTTCATAAACACCAGGCCCAACCAGGTCGTTCACCTTCACACAGTGATGCAATAGAAAGTCACTGTTGACAGTAATCTGCTGTTTTTTCCAGTCGTGCATGGAAAATGTTGCAGGTCGTCATGTAACTACTGTACGGACCAGGAATCCCTTCCGACTCCGGCTCTCCTTCCCGATTTGACTCCCACGAAGCGTGAAGCGGCCCAGAAGAGGACAAGCCTGCACCTGAATCCCACTCCTGCTGCTGATCCTGACAGAGACGCCCAGGCGTTTCAGGCGAAGCGAAAAGCGAAAGGAAACTGCGGCGGTGTGCAGCTGCACAGCTTTCTGCTTAGCTGACGTTTCCATTAGCCTTCAGAAGCTAATGCTTGCTAAACAAAATCCCCTTTGACTTTCCCTATCCTCTCCTTAGCTACTGCACCCCTACTGTTAGCCTGCAGCTAAGGCTGACGTCCAGCTAGTTCCAAGGGTTACAGACAGTAACGTCGTGCATATGTTTAAGTGTCTCTGCTTGCCTCCGTCCTACTGTCCTTACTGGAAGGGCCGCAGCCTCCCGTCGAGCACCCAGAGGTCTCCGGAGAGTCAGGGCTAAGATCAGGCCTTGGAGTCAAAGCACATGCACGCACCTCACGCATCCGAGGCGACGCCTCCCCTTTAAGACGCCGTGTTTTCTATAGGCTAACTCCCTTTTACAGACCTCCGGCTGTCCCGTACTTGGGCACGAGCCATTTCCCTCTGTTCTTTAGCACAGTAAATGTCAGACACAGAAATGAATTAATAATCCGCAGCAAACCTCGAGAGCAGATCAAAACGGAAAATGCGTTTAGGCCGCGAACGGCGGAGCGCACTTGGGAGTCACGGTAACCCGATCCAGCCAGCCGCTCCCCAAACTCAAAAAAGGAAAAAAAAAAAAAAAAAAAAGCCTCACACAAAAGCGGAACACGCCCACCGGGTCTGTGAGCACTGAGAGCGCCTTTTAGTCGTTTATTTATCTATCTATTCCACTCATCCTCTGCGGCACAGAATGAGCTTTCTTTCTTCAGAAGACACAATGGGACAGTTCTGTGGGCCCGTTTATTGCCGCTCCAAACCACTACTGAGGAACGGCCCGGCCCGACCCGGCACAGCGCCTCCGGATGGCGGAATATTAAACGGCCCCCGCGCCCCGCACAGAATCGCTCGGTTTGTTTAGAAGCCTTATACCACAACACCCTCATTGTCCCCCCCCGGACGGGGGGGGGGGGGGAGGAGCCACTGGGTGGCCGGCCCAGTTTGGGAGAAGATGCACACGGCTCTTGAAAGCGGAGCTTTTTTCCCCCCCCTGTCGGATCTCGGCACCACCCGGGTGCGGGGAGAGCCAGGTGACCGCGCGTCCCCCGCGGGGCGTGACCCTGCCGTCCCTCCCCAGGGCTGGTTAACCCTCTCTCTGCAAAATCTCCGTTTAAGGAGATGGGTAATAAAACACTTTTCCCCGTGTGCCCAAACCACGGCGAAATCTTTCCAAATCCCACAGACTGCCTCATTAGCCACTGTTTTGTTCCGCAGACCGTATCGGAATGTTAGGCTACCTGTCTACCTGTGCGGCATCTGAGAGATGCACCACCATCTTAGATCATAACTGGATGCTGGGGCTTGACTGACAGCTTATTTGGCCAATGATCGGCTTGTTCGAAGTTCATTTACAGGCCAATCAAACGATCCATCATATGAATGGAGATGGCAGGTCGGCGGCACTTTGTTCTGTCACTAGTGCCGAACCAGATGAGCAATAGCATATGCAGTTACTCTGAAATAATGATCGCTTTTTGACACTGGGGGCACCCTGTGCGGCTGGGATAGACTCCAGGAACCCCCTGCGACCTGGCTCAGGAAAAGTGGCCGGCGAACGGATGGATGGAAGCAGCGTGTCAGACTCGCACCTGGGACTCGCCCTCGTCCCAGGAGAATCACAGGCCTCAGGGGGCAGCTCAACCGTAGATACCGAAATGTTGACTGGTACATCGCAAATCAGCCGAGGTCCGATAAAAATGAAGACATCAGCATCGAATCGATGTGGTCGATCTTGGTCGATGTTGCTGGCCGATATTCAAAGTTCGAAGCACCAGAGCTAAATGCACAAGATGATCAGGCATTTTTCCAGTGGAGGACGACGGATTTCGCCAGCACATTCACTGCTTAGAACCTCCCTACAGTCGATGTTGCCTTGCTGAGGTCTCACTGCCTACATTAAGTGATGTGGCTGCTGTACACATTCATGACATCTTAAGAAGTAACGTCACCGACGTCAGTTTCACCGCAGATTTGTCGTACTCAGAGGTTAGTCGGTAATGCGTATTGCCGAAAACCGCTACGTTGGAGCAGCCCGCTCACTCTCCGTGCGGCAGGCGGTTCGGCGAATCCCAACAGCGGATTTCCCCAAGGATCTCGCCACGCAGCCCCTGGGGCTGGCATGTGAGGTGCGGCAGAGGTGCAGAGGAGTGCGACTGCAGCCATCTTAGGTGGCGCCACAACCCCCACCTCCTCAGGCAGCCCTGCCTCGGCCGCGGAATCGCGTCGTGTTACGTAACGTCCCTACAGGGGGCAAAGAGACTTAACCGCTGCAGTTCCTGCTCAGCAGCATGGACTTCGCACGACTGACGAGAAGCGTTTTAGAGCTTGATTAACCCTCCCTAATGATACCGTGGGGGGGGGCTGGTTCTCCGGCCCAGTGGCAGAATGAGGGGGCGGCAGAGCCGGATGCGTCCACGTCCCGCGGGTCGGCGCCGGCACTGGCCATCCCGCCTCTCTTCGGGACGCCTTCTAGGATGAGATCCAAATCCCCTCTTGTTTTCCCCTCAATTTCCTCCGCAATCTGTGTCTCTAATCTGCTGCTGGAACGCGCTGCGATTTCCCGGCCGAGGGTGAGTGTTGTATCGGACTGGGAGACGGGGGGGGGGTTGACAGGCTGCTGAATGCCTCTGCAGGCCCAGCTTCTGCACCTCCACTATTTTTAAACTGTGGCCAGTTTCCAAAAAAAAAAATAATAATAATAATAATAATAATAATAGATAAAAAAAAAAAAAAAAAAACACACTAAACTTTGCTGTAAAAGCCCACAGATTCATACAATACCCGGCGCCGTGACTATCTGTGATCCCTGCTCCTGGGATGCCCCCCCCCCCACTCCATAATGTTATAAATACAGCACACTCAGAGTCCGGGGCCACAACAGA